ACAAACGCTCTATGCAAAATATATACGAAGAGTCCGGTGAGATACCCATCTCAATTTCTATTTATTCAGAATACTTCCAGAAAAATTAACCTTGCGATCACGAAAGCTGAAAAGCCATATCGGTTTAAACACTGGCTATGCTCTTCTCCCCCCCCCCCCATGGATCACTGCCTTGTCGCGGCGAGGGGGCTTGCGTGGTTCAATGAAGCTGTGGGCTATGCCGTGGAGGGCCACCCAGGACGGACAGGCCACAGCAGAGAACTCAGACCAAGCGTGATCCCCTGGAGAAGGAAATGACAACCCACTCCAGTATTTTTGCCAAGAAAACCCCATGGACAGTATCAAAAGGCTAAAAGATATGACGCCGGAAGATGAGCCCCTCAGGTCGGAAGGTGTCCAATATGCTACTGAGGAAGAGCAGAGGGCAAGTACAAGTAACTCCAGTAAGAGTGAAGCGGCTGGGCCAAAGCTGAAAGGACGCTCAGTTGTGGATGTGTCTGATGGTGAAAGGAAAGTCCGATGCTGCAAAGAACAATACTGCATAGGAACCTGGAATGTAAGATCTATGAATCAAGGTAAGCATGACGTGGTCAAAAATGAGATGGCAAGACTGAACATCGATATCTTAGGAATCAGTGAACTAAAGTGGACAGGAATGGGCAAATTTTATTCAGAAGACCATTACATCTACTACTGTGGCCAGGAATCTCATAGAAAAAATGGTGTGGCCTTTATAGTCAACAAGAGAGTGCAAAAGTCGGTACTGGGATACAATCTCAAAAATGACAGAATGATTTCGGTTCGATTCCAAGGCAAACCATTCAACATCACAGTAATCCAAGTCTATGCCCCAACCACTGATGCAGAAGAGGCTGAAGTGGACCGGTTCTATGAAGACCTACAACACCTCCTAGAACTAACACCAAAAAATGATGTCCTCATCATCATAGGGGACTGGAATGCTAAAGTAGGAAGTCAAAAGGTAACCGGAATAACAGACAAGTTTGGCCTTGGAAAGCAAAATGAAGCAGGGCAAAGGTTAACAGAGTTTTGTCAAGAGAACACACTGGTCATAGCGAACACCCTTTTCCAACAACCTAAGAGACGACTCTACACATGGACATCACCAGATGGGCAACACCGAAATCAGATTGACTATATAATTTGCAGTCAAAGATGGAGAAGCTCTATCCAGTCAGTAAAAACAAGACCTGGAGCTGACTGTGGTTCAGATCATGAGCTACTCATTGCAAAATTCAGACTTAAACTGAAGAAAATTGGGAAAACCACGAGGCCATTCAGGTTTGACCTAGATCGCATCCCTGATGAATATACAGTAGAGGTGAAGAATAGATTCAAGGGTCTGGATTTGATAGATAGAGTGCCTGAAGAACTATGGACAGAGGTTCGTGACATCGTACAGGAGGCAGCAATCACCACCATACCAAAGAAAAAGAAATGCAAGAAAGCAAAATGGCTTTCTGATGAGGCTTTACAAATAGCAGAGGAAAGAAGGAAAGCGAAAGGCAAAGGCGAAAAGGAAAGATTTACCCAACTGAACGCAGATTTCCAGAGAACAGCAAGGAGAGATAAGGAGGCCTTCCTGAATGAACAGTGCATTGCAAAGCCCTGCAATGGAAAAACGAAACCCTCCAACATGTTGCCTTGGCTAGAACAGAAAAGCACCGCGATGTAGACTTTTAAAGGCTTTCAAATAAGTTGTTTCAAGCCACCACCACCACCCCCGTGCTTTTCTGTTTCCCGAAGGAAATCCAGCGGGCGGCCTGTCCAGGGACTGGGGGGAGCGCCCAGTGCCACGGGCAGGACCGCAAAAGAGCTGCTTCTCTGTAGGGTTCCCGTCTCCTCTACGAAGTGCGACGGGGTCTAACGTTAATGCTGCGTTTTTAAATGCTCTCAAAGCGTTTAGGGACATTCGTGCTCCTTCTTACCAGCTACAAGGAAACTGGCCAGGGATGATTTCCCTTGGAGCTGGCTTAGAGCGCAGGACAACCTCCCCCCCCCACATTCTCTTGCTTGACGCCCCTTCGGCTGCACGGAGGCAGGAGAGTTCAGGGGAGTTGCGCAGCACGGCGGGCTTCGACGGGCAGGGCAGGAGGACTTCTCCTGCGCCTCTCTTAGGGGAAGTGCGGCAATGATGTCAACCAGCACCAAGCCGCCGCCGCGGTCTCCTGGCAGGCGAAAACGAGGCGACCCCGCCCCTCGGCTGCCCTCAGGCCTCTGGGCGCTTGTGGAGGACTCCGGGAGCGACGATGTGATCTGCCAGAGCCAGGTGAGGGGCTCGGCAGGCGCACACGCAGCAGCGGCAGCCATGCACCCCTTTGTCTCTTTCACCCCTGGCGCCCCTGCCTCGCCTCCCGCGCCCTAACGGCCAGCTCGCGCTCTAGGCATAGGCCTAGTTCGCCTAGCGGGTGAGCCGGCCCTGCCTGGAGCTGACTGTGGCTCAGATCATGAGCTACTCATTGCAAAATTCAGACTTAAACTGAAGAAAATTGGGAAAACCACTAGGCCATTCAGGTTTGACCTAGATCACATCCCTGATGAATATACAGTAGAGGTGAAGAATAGATTCAAGGGTCTGGATTTGATAGATAGAGTGCCTGAAGAACTATGGACAGAGGTTCGTGACATCGTACAGGAGGCAGCAATCACCACCATACCAAAGAAAAAGAAATGCAAGAAAGCAAAATGGCTTTCTGATGAGGCTTTACAAATAGCAGAGGAAAGAAGGAAAGCGAAAGGCAAAGGCGAAAAGGAAAGATTTACCCAACTGAACGCAGATTTCCAGAGAACAGCAAGGAGAGATAAGGAGGCCTTCCTGAATGAACAGTGCAAAGTAATAGAAGAAAACAATAGAATGGGAAGGACTAGAGATCTCTTCAAGAAAATTGGAGAAATCAAGGGAGCGTTCCATGCAAAGCTGGCCATGATAAAGGACAAAAACGGTAGGGACCTAACAGAAGCAGAAGAGATTAGGAAAAGATGGCAAGAATACACAGAAGAACTATACAAGAAAGACCTCAATGTCCTTGACAAACACGACGGTATAATCACTGACCTTGAGCCAGACATCCTGGAATGTGAAGTTAAATGGGCCTTAGAAAGCATTACTAACAACAAAGCTAGTGGAGGTGATGGTATTCCAGCTGAGCTATTCAAAGTCTTAGAAGATGATGCTGTTAAAGTTCTGCACTCCATTTGCCAGCAAATTTGGAAAACGCAACAGTGGCCACAGGATTGGAAAAGATCAGTATACATTCCAATCCCAAAGAAGGGCAATGCCAAGGAATGTTCAAACTATCGCACAATTGCACTCATATCACACGCTAGCAAGGTCATGCTCAAGATCCTACAAGCTAGGCTTCAACAGTACGTGGATAGAGAACTACCAGAAGTACAAGCTGGGTTTCGAAGAGGTAGAGGAACGAGAGATCATATTGCCAACATTCGCTGGATTATGGAGAAAGCAAGAGAGTACCAGAAAAATATCTACTTCTGCTTCATTGACTATGCTAAAGCCTTTGACTGTGTGGATCACAACAAACTATGGCAGGTCCTTAAAGAGATGGGAGTACCAGACCACCTCACATGTCTCTTGAGAAACCTGTATAAGGGCCAAGAAGCGACAGTTAGAACCGGATACGGAACAACTGATTGGTTCAGCATAGGAAAAGGAGTACGACAAGGATGTATACTGTCACCTTGCTTATTTAATATATATGCAGAGTACATCATGCGAAATGCTGGCCTGGATGAATCACAAGCGGGAATTAAGATTGCTGGGGAAAAGATCAACAACCTCAGATATGCAGATGATACCACTCTAATGGCTGAAAGTGAAAAGGATCTAAAGAGCCTCTTGCTCAGAGTAAAAGAGGAGAGCGCAAAAGTGGGCTTGAAGCTCAACATCAAAAAAACTAAGATCATGGCATCCGGCCCCATCACTCCTTGGCAAATAGAAGGGGAAGTCGTGGAAGTAGTGACAGACTTCACGTTCCTGGGATCCCAGATCACCGCAGACTGTGACTGCAGCCATGAAATTAAAAGACGCCTGCTCCTTGGGAGGAAAGCGATGGCGAACCTAAACAGCATGATAAAAAGTAGAGACATCACCCTGCCAACAAAAGTCCGCATGGTCAAAGCAATGGTATTCCCAGTAGTCATGTATGGCTGCGAGAGCTGGACTATAAGGAAGGCCGAGCGCCGAAGAATAGATTCTTTTGAACTATGGTGCTGGAGAAGACTCTTGAGAGTCCCTTGGACTGCAAGAAGAACAAATCAGTCAATCCTCAAAGAAATCAACCCTGACTGTTCCCTGGAAGGCCAGATAATGAAACTGAAGCTCAAATACTTTGGCCACCAAATGAGAAGGGAGCACTCACTGGAGAAGACCCTGATGCTGGGAAAGATTGAAGGTCAAAGAAGACGGGGACGGCAAAGGATGAGATGGTTAGACAGTGTCATAGATACAACGAACATGAAATTGAGCAAACTTCAGAGCACAGCAGAAGACAGGAAGGCCTGGTGTTATGTCTTGAGAGACATAATGGTAAGAGCTTGATCTGCCATAACTCATTATGCGGATTGTAAATACTGACCAATGGTGTGCATTCTGGAGGGAATGGGTTTGATTGGACGTTATGTATCGATTGTGATTGGATGTAACATACCTAATGTGATTGGTTGTTGTGAAACATTGTAGGTGTGGCTATCTCAGCCAGAATTGTATATAAGTTGCCGTTTTGCCTATGGAAGTTGTCTAACTGGTCTAGCACCTACAAGGCTGAGCCTTCATGCTGTTATCACTGAAATAAAGCTGAAATCACTTGTTGAACTGTTCCTCTGAGTTAAGTGTCATACTTAACATCTGGCGACGTGGATGGGATATAGCAGGTAGGCAGCCCCGCTATTCGGAACAACGGAGGAGGTTCAACCAGCTGGCGAGCAACCGACGGAGCAGGGCGTTCCTGTGACCCCCGAGAATGAGCTACAACAAGCAGTTCGAGCCGTTCGAGCCACTATCGGAAGATTGGGACTCCTACCTGACAAGGTTTGAGTTTTTCCTTGAGAACTGCCAAGTGACAGATGCAGCGAAGAAGCGAGCAGCCTTGCTGTGTTCCTGTGGGAAAGAGGTATTTGACATCGCCCGATCATTGGTGACGCCAGACAATATCAAGACCGTACCGTATACGACACTGACCGAGAAGTTGAAGGCCTGTTTTTCACCTCAACCGTCAGAGATCACTTCCCGACACGCCTTCTATGAGCGACGGCAGGGCCCCCGGGAATCTGTGGCTGAGTTCGTGGCGGCACTCAGGAAGGCGGCAAGGCCCTGCAATTTTGAAAACCTTGAGAAGGCGTTGCGTGACCGTGTGGTGTGCGGCCTGAGAGACGCGCAATTGCAACAGCGTTTGCTTGCTCGCAAGGCCCTCACATTCAAAGATGCATTCGAGGCAGCCGTCGCCGCTGAGGCCGCAGAGAAATCAACAAGGGAGGTGCGACAACGCCCCGGTACAGCAGAACCACGCGTTCATCACCAAGCAACCGGTGAGGAGGTAGCGGAGGACGTGGATGATGTCACGGAAGCTCGCTCCAACCACCCACAGCGGACTGCAACAAAACCTGTGCAGCAACGGCTGTGCCTAGGCTGTGGCGGGAAGCACGAGCGCGACACCTGTTGGGCCAAAGAGCTGATCTGCCGCGCTTGCGGAAAGTGCGGGCACATCACCCGAGTGTGTAAAGCAAAGACAAGATCACCGCTGACAGGGAAAAAAGCCTTCGCAGGAGGGTCGAGACAAAGTCAACGCGACCAGACCAGCCGCCACCAACCCACCGGCTCCAGACCAGTCTCCAGGTCATCAGCCAGCCGCAAGTCCTGCTCCTCGACGGTCCTGGCAACTGGAGGAAGCCGCCAGCAGAAAATCATCGTCACCCTGTTCCTGGATGGGGTGCCCTACGATTTCGAGGTCGACTCTGGGTCAACCCGGACCATCATCTCGACGCAGACCCTCGATCGCCTGTTCCCCACGAGAAGCCGCAGTCGTCTTCTGACAACCAACGCCCGACTTGCCGATTTCCAGGGGCGCCGGATACCACTTGCAGGGGAAGCAGAATTCGAGGTTCGATTTAAAGAGTTGTGTGCATCCCTGTCCTTGATTGTTGCCGAGGGGAACAGGGTGAGTTTATTGGGGCTAGATTGGTTCGACCCATTGGGAATCTCTGTTACCGGTGTTAATAATATGGTATGTGAGGATAAATGGAAATATGTGTACGACAAGTTTCCTCAAGTTTTTGCAAAAGGGTTGGGAACCTTCACAGGTACCCCAGTTTCCTTCGATTTAAACCCCCTGGTAGGGCCTATTCGCCTCAAATACAGGAAGGTACCAATATCGATACGGCCAAAGATAGAGGCCGAGTTAGACAAACTCATTGAGCAGCAGGTTCTAGAGCCAGTTCCCAGCAGCAAATGGGAAACGCCAATTGTTACTCCTGTAAAGTCAGATGGCTCCATTAGAATTTGTGCTGACTATAAATGTACACTTAACAAAGCGTTGCAACAACATTCGTACCCTGTACCTGTTATCTCTCATGTGTTGGCCTCATTGGGTGAGGGAAAAGTGTTTGGTAAATTAGACCTCGCGCAAGCATATCAGCAGCTATTGGTGGATGACAAAACGGCCGAGGCGCAGACAATCGTTACGCATAGGGGGGCTTTCCGGGTCAGACGCCTCCAGTTTGGTATAAATGTAGCGCCGGGAATTTTCCAGGGTCTAATGGAAGGGCTGCTGCGGGGTCTAAAGGGAGTAATACCATATTTTGATGACGTACTTATTGCGGGGGCAGACGATAAGGAGCTACTGGAACGGGTCAGGGCCGTTCTGGAACGTTTCAAAAATGCAGGGTTGAGACTTAAAAAGTCTAAGTGTGCTATAGGGGTTCCGAGTGTCGAATTCCTTGGGTTCCAAATTGACGAACACGGGGTGCACCCAACGAAATCAAAGGTGTCGGCAATACATAATGCCCCCAGACCACAGTCACAAAAAGAGCTACAGTCCTTCTTAGGACTACTTAATTTTTATCATTCATTTATTCCCCACAAAGCGTCTGTTGCACAACCCCTCCACCAACTACTGAATAAAGGTTCCCAATGGGTTTGGGGACAGCGGCAGCAGACCGCTTTCCGAAATGTAAAAGCTCTCCTCACGTCTGATGCAGTACTAATGCATTCTGACGAGGGTAAAATGTTGGTTTTAGCAGCCGATGTGTCGCCTTATGGTATTGGGGCAGTGTTAAGCCATCGTATGGCCGATGGGTCTGAGGCACCCGTAGCCTACTATTCTAGGTCATTGTCTGGGGCCCAAAAAAATTATGCCCAGATTGACAAAGAGGGTCTGGCCATAATTGCTGCCGTGAAGAAGTTTCACGATTTTGTGTATGGGTGCAGGTTCTTAATCGTGACTGATCACAAGCCCCTCTTGGGCATTTTCGCTCCCAACCACCCAACCCCGAACATTATTTCCCCTCGTATGCTACACTGGACGCTATGCTTATCGGCATACGAGTACGATTTGGAGCACAGGCCTGGGAAGGCTATCGGCCACGCCGACGCTCTAAGCCGTTGTCCCCTGCCAGAGCCTGTTGATCCTGCTCCAGTGCCCACAGCGGACGTGTGTCTACTTGATGAACTGCCTCAGTCTCCACTGCGGTCCGGAGAATTTGCCTCCGAAACAAAAAAAGACTCTGTGTTAGCAAGAGTATTGAACTGGGTGTTGAGGGGGTGGCCGAGCGCCGTGTTTGAACCAGAGTTCAAGGCATACAATATGCGGAAAACAGAACTCTCGATCTCCAGGGGGTGCATTCTCTGGGGGAACAGGGTGGTGATCCCCCCAAGCCTGCGGAGGAGGGTGTTAGAGTCCCTGCACTCAGGTCACCCAGGGATCGTCCATATGAAGGCACTGGTCAGAGGGTACGTATGGTGGCCAGGGATTGATGCAAACATTGAAGAAAGGGTTCAAGGCTGCTATACCTGCCAACAGTCCCGCCCAGAGCCAACACACACCCCACCTTTAGCAATGGAAAGAGCTGAAAAGCCTTGGTCAAGGCTACATGTCGACTTTGCGGGCCCGATTCATGGGCAAATGCTATTGGTGGTGGTGGATGCACACTCAAAATGGCTCGAGGTAGTCCCCATGCGAAGCACAACGTCGGCGAACTTAATAAAGGCTTTGCACCAATTGTTTGCCACCCATGGGCTACCTGAAGTGCTGGTGTCGGACAACAGCCCTCAACTTACCTCTAGGGAATTTGCAGACTTCCTAGAGGGCTACGGCATCCGGCATGTCACAACAGCACCATTCCACCCGGCCTCAAATGGCCAGGCCGAGCGCATGGTGCGAACAGCAAAAGAGTCCCTCGCCAGGCTGCCAGGCGATGACTGGGACTACAGAGTGGCTGAGTTCCTGTTGCGGCAGCACATCACGCCTAACTCAGCCACGGGGAGAAGCCCGGCCGAGCTTCTCATGAAGCGCCAACTCACTACCCTACTAGATCGGTTGCATCCTGACTTAGATGTCAGCAGGGAGAAGGAGGCTGAAACTCCAGAGCCAGTAAGAGAGTTCCAGCCCAGGGACTTAGTGTTCAGCAGGGTCACCAGTGGCTTCCAGCTGAGGTCACCGACCGACTGGGCTCACGAATGTATGTGGTCCGTCTACCTGATGACCGCACGGTACGCCGCCACATCGACCAACTCCGACAACGATGGGCTCCCGCAAATCTTGGGCTCGAGTCCCACTTGCCTCCAGAAGAGGTGAGTGCTGCCGGTTCTCGTTTAGAACCTGAGTCAGGACAGACCCATGCACTCTCCAACCCTACCGAGCCAGGAAGCCCTGCAATGCCAAGCGCTGACCCTGGGCCAGTCCCCGGACCTGACGAAGCCCCCACACTTCGCAGGTCACAAAGAACCCGAAGGGCCCCTCCCTATCTATCTGACTATCAGTGTGATGCCATCTAAGGGGGGAGGAGTTATGTCTTGAGAGACATAATGGTAAGAGCTTGATCTGCCATAGCTCATTATGCGGATTGTAAATACTGACCAATGGTGTGTATTCTGGAGGGAATGGGTTTGATTGGACGTTATGTATCGATTGTGATTGGATGTAACATACCTAATGTGATTGGTTGTTGTGAAACATTGTAGGTGTGGCTATCTCAGCCAGAATTGTATATAAGTTGCCGTTTTGCCTATGGAAGTTGTCTAGCTGGTCTAGTCCTTACAAGGCTGAGCCTGTATGCTGATCTCACTGAAATAAAGCTGAAATCACTGTTTGAACTGTTCCTCCGAGTTAAGTGTCATACTTAACACCTGGCGTGATCTGGTCCATGGGGTCACGAAGAGTCGGACTTGACTGTGCGACTGAACAACAACATGCTCTTCTCCCTTGCATTGCCCATTATCAGGGGACTGTCTCTTTGGTTTTCCCTATTTCAAGGGGTTAGCTTCAAATTAAAATCAGTGCTCAAATACTAGCAAGTATCTGACCAATGCAGTGACTAGTCTTAGACCACCTAATCCTGTAAGCAGGAATAGACATCACTGGTGCCTGGCAGGAAGACCACTGGGAAGGTGGAAAGAAAACTGTAAACAGGCCTGAGCTTTCTAAAACAAGTGGAATAAGCATAAGAATCCAAGTTAACTCAGCAGAGTATAAATCCATATGCTGTACTCCACATCCATGGAGATGGTCCTTGTTGCAGTTAGTATAAATAAAATCACCTAACCCACTATTACCGAAACACAGCTCCAGAAGCATGGCACATTTTACTCTGCAAAGGTGAACCAGCAGCATAAGACAGCCTGCAAGACAGCAGTGGCCTGTGTCCAACCACACAGTTAATAAAGCACAACTGCCTTTAAGTTTTTTCAAGGCAAAGACTTCGGGGGGGGGGGCGTGCATGAGCGCTTGTAGGGGTGAAACAATGGAAGTGCCACCTCCTGTTAAGAAAACTCAAGCGCTCTTAAATATTTAGAATGTTGCTGGATACTGGCTCAGTCCATGTGTGACCCTCTCTGAATGCTTGGCAGGTCCTAAGCATTGTCTCATGACAGAAGCCCTGCTGCTTTCAACAAAACATTAAAATCCTTTCTGTTGCATTCTGAAGACGGTTAAATCAATAACTGCGTAAAATTACACTGTCAATGCAAAGACATGGCAAGATAGATACGAATCTTATAGTAACACTTTGCCAAGTAAGCTTGCTTAGGATCACAGTCCACTCATTTCATAGTGGTCATGCAGAGGCTGAGAAGTTACTAGCTCACAAAAGCTTTTTCTGTATTGCTTATCTGCGTTAGTCATTTGTTGCTCACTGATAGCCTGGAAGACATGGGTGTGGACACAAGTTCACCAAAGCCCCCCAACCTCATTTCATTCATCACAAAGAATCAAAGTGGTAGCAATTTGCAAGCAAGGTTTGTTAGCCCTAGTAAAGTTAGTGCAGCTTGAATCACATATGAAATTAAAACACGATGAAACTATTTGTACTAGAAATGCAAGTTAATATCAAATGTTTATTACAGTACAAAAAGTAATGAGAATTTAAGCGCTTGACACAGAGTTTCAAAAAATTATGCATACCCAGTGAAAAACTGCATCCGTTAAATGGAACCATGAACACAGTGAACAGCACCAACATATTTCCAAGTTCAAAGTTGCAGGTTATGAGGTAGTTTCCCAGAGAACCTACTTGAGAGGTATTTATGATACCCAGTGACATGGATTAGTGCTCTGCTTTAAAATCAAGAAGGCACTGGGACATATAATGCATTTGGAATCTGCGGTTCTTTCTTCCCCAACAATTATAACAAGTTTGGTGTTTCAAACGAGAAAGGTCAAATGCTCAGATCTTTCTTACTAAAATCTCCTCACTAGTCACTCCTCACTAAAATCTCACTCTCTATGTCAAATCGGGAGAAGCAATCCATACAGAAGAGGAATTAAGCAGGCTGCAATGCTGATTCGGGGGGGGGGGGGTAAGGGGTTGCACCAAGTTATTTGTGTAACTAGTAACTTCTCCTCCCCCACAAGCTCTGAGACAAGAAAAACAAGTCCTGGGAAGTCTTCAAATGACAATGGCACATCAGGAGGGGAAGAGACCTTTCTTGGAATATGATATTATGTCATATTTTAGGTTACTAGACAGCCTTGTTCAGAAAGCTGTAAGATTAATGGGTTGGGTTCCCCATTCAATCAGTAGAAGGTTCTGACAGCCGTTAACTTTCCCCTTTACTTCTCCCCTCCGTATTCCTTTCTGACCCTGAGGTTTTGGGACTCATGTAGAACAACAGCCCTGCAGGTGGGCGGGCTGCTGTGAGGAGGGGGTAAAATCAACCTTCCTCCACTAACAGAAAAGAGGCAGGAGAGAATGGTTTTGCCCATTTCCCCCCCCCCTTCACTGCTGTCCACCCACTCGTCTTGGCAGTTGCTCCATGCAGGTCTCACAGCCCCAGGAGTCAACTTTCCCAGGGTTGAAAACAGCTGCTGGGGAGAAGAAAGGAAAGCAAAGATCAGATCTGTGGTCCTGGCATTAGCAGAACTTCATATCCAATTCACCAATCCTAAATCTGTTAACGCTCAACAAGAGAAAGCAATATGAATGACAACTTGAGATTCACATCCAAGATTTCACATATAGAAAACACAAGACATTGTCTGTGTGTTATGTATTATAGTAATCATTGTGCTATGGTATATGTTAGTGTCTATTTTTGTCTTTAAAAAGTAATAAATCAGCCAAATTTAAGGCATTTGAATTCCCGATAACACTAGTGGGAGAACTAAGCACACATTCAAGCCTTGCCACACACCTCAAATTATCAGTAAGAAAGTAGAAGGTTTAGCTTTGGCTGGTTCACATGGCACAAACACTATTCATCAGAGGGGATAAAAGCAGCTGTTTAAATCTCCAAAGTTATTTCAAAGTCTTGTTCCAACACAGTCATGAGTCCAAGTGTTAAAAATATCCAACTTTGTACCAAGAAATTCACGTTTACAAGAAAAAAAACGTACACTAAAATGAAATGCAGTTGACAATATGGCTTTCAAGTTTCCACTGTAATTGAAAATTTCAGCAGCATAGGAAGAGATTTTCCGCTTGATGTCTTAAAACTCTTTGTCACAGGAGGTTACAACAAAAGGCATATTCATGGGCCCCTAATGGAAGAGTGAAAATGTGAGAGATGTTGAGGAAAATAAATTTTGGAACACGTATGAGACCAGAGAAGATACAAAGCCAGCAGCGTGTAATGCTCAATCAGATTAAAATCTGGGAGACTCAGGTTCAAACCTACCCTCTGCTATGGAAACCTGCTGGGTGAACTTGGGCCAGTCACACATTCTTAGCCTAATCTACCTCACAGAGTTGTTGTGAGGATGAAATGGAAAAGAGTAGAACGATGTTAGCTGCTTTGTGCACTCAATGAAATTGCTGAGCAGATGGGTTAGAACAGATAAAAGGAAGTACTTCTTCACCCAAATAGTGATTAACACATGGAATTCACTGCCACAGGAAGTGGTGGCGGCTACAAGCATGGAAGGCTTCAAGAGGGAATTGGATAAACATATGGAGCAGAGAGGTCCATCCGTCGCTACTAGCCATAAGGTATAGATAGGAATTCTCAGTCTGGGGCGAGTGATGCTCTGTATTCTTGGTGCTGGGGGGGGGGGGAAAAAAAAGGGGGGGGTGGGACAGTTGGAGGGCTTCTAGTGTCCTGGTCCCACTGGTGGACCTCCTGATGGGAACTAGTATTTCTGACCACTTTGTGACGAAGTGCTGGACTGGATGGGCCATTGGCCTGATCCAACACTGGCTTCTCTTACGTTCTTATGTTTTCCCATTGAGGAGAAAGAAAGGGTACAAATGAAATAAATAAGATTAACATTTCTAATTTTGGCATTGGATCAAATCTAAACCTGGCGTCACACTCAGTATGGAACATGCTGGTTCACAATAGGTAAGGGGAAAAAATGGTCAGAGTCAACTTGACTATCAAGTTCCCCAGAAAGTTTTAAACACTTTGATTTTAAGTTATTCCATACCCCAGGAGGGAATTTTAGGGTGAATTCCAGCCCTCACTACAAAACGTGCCACACCAATGTGTTTTAACATTTCTCCAGATGCATCCTAGTATTAAATCTGAGTTCAATATATCTAAAAAGTTGAGAATAGCTTTAACCACCTCAGGGGATATTCACATCATTAGTGTACGGACAGTGGAAGAATTGTGCAGCTGGACAGAAATAACCAACCGATCAGGGCCGTAGCCAGAAAATTTCCGGTGGGGGGGGACGTGGGGAATTGGGAAGGAATGTGGAGAAGTGACGTAGGCACGTGGGGGTTCTGTGGGGGGAGGTGAGAGGGAAGGGGCAGAGAAACAAGGAAACGGGGAGCTCCTTTCTGGGGCTGTCAGATCTAACCCCCCCTCTCCTTTCTTCTAAGTATCCGCCACTGCAGTCCTTCCCTGTGTGCTGTGGTCCAAGCCCACCCAGCCCTGGAGGGCCAGGCATGGCTGCTGGGGTGCACAGCAAGAGCAGAGGAGAATGGCCCACCCCAGAGCCTCACTGGGGGAGGAGCTCTGCCGGTGCAGGTGCAGTGAGACGCCTCGGCTCTTGCCGCAGGCACCCCAGCAGCTGTGCCTGGCCAAGGACTCCCAGCCTGATTTGCTTCTGCAGCCTTTGGGGAGAGGGAGGAGGAGAGCCTGGAGAGGGCGTCCCTCAGCTGCAGCAGGAAGCAGTTTCCTGGTTCCAGCTGTGGCCGAGCAGGAGGGGAGAGAGACCTGGTAAGACTGCCCCTCTCCCTCCCGCTCCTGCTTGGCTGCAGCAGGAAGAGCTGGTGAGGCTGCAGCAGGCAGGGGCAAGGAACGCAGTGCACCAGGGTGCATGGGAGGTCTGGAATTCTCCTGGGGTGGGACGGGGCTCCTCCGTGGGGGGCGTCACCCCCAGATGCCCTCCCCCAGGGCTACAGGCCTGAAACTAATACCAGATTCTTACAACTTCTTTCATGCATCAGGAAGTAGGTGTATTTTTCCTAGACCTGCACTAACTGCACTATAAGCCTCTCATATCTGAATAAGAACAGGGTTTTTAAAAAATAAGTATACATGCATGGAAAATGTTTCATCATTGTAGCATATCTAAATAATCTTTACAATTAAATAATGGCATATACATAAAAAGATACACACACACACACACAAAGGATATCATAGATTCACTCTTCAAATGGCAGAGTAACTTCTTCAGTGGAGGATAGCGGCATAAGGAAGGCACACAACCCAGCATGATTAATTTGTGTTTAGCCCTTGTAATAGCCACATTAAGACGTCTCCAGTCCTTCAGAAGTTCTCCAACCTGTCGAATGCAAGGACAGACACATGAAGCTGCCTTATACTGCATCAGGCTCTTGGTCCATCAAGGTCAGGGTTGTCTACCCAGACTGGCAGCAGGTCTCCAGGGTCTCAGGCTGAGGTCTTTCACATCATCTGCTACCTTGTTATTTTAAGTGGAGATACTGGGGAATGAACTCGGGACCTTCTGCATGCAAAGCAGAGGCTCTACCACTAAGCCACAGTCCCTCTCCAGCTCACCTGATTTTAAGGTCCTGCATCTAGCTAAAAATAAATTGAGTTTTAGGTTTCAAACAACAGGCACCGTAGCAGAACGTACCTGCTCTGACCTGCAAGCCCTATTCCGCCCTGCGATCCCAGGGGTTCCCAACTCCCTGGAGGGGCTTCTCTTTCACTCTCAGGGTAGCCACGACCACCACCTGCCCTTTTTAAGGAATTGCCCACTGGGAAGGACAGGACTCCCAGCTTGGCCTCTGTGTCTCCCGCTGCCCACCACGTGGCCACCACCGGAACAGATTAATGCCTTGGGCACCCCTGGAGGAACAGCCGCTTGCCAACCCCCCTGGAGCCCTTTTAAAATAGCATGTTCAAAATGGTGGAGGTCTATGTGGTACAGAGAACCGCTCCCAGCATCAAAAGTGTAGAAGTATTTATTAAAAAGAAAATGTTCATCAGCATACTTTTAGTGCAGCACCAGATTGAACAAGGAATACAAAAAGAAATTGGTAAAAATGCACAACCTCTGTTCCTTCCTCTATATATACTGATGGTAAACTATAGGACAGGCTCTTTAGCTTAGCTGTTCTATTTCTCTACAGGGAACTTGAAGCTTGCTCCCAGCCTCCCAGGCGAGTACATAGTCAATATGGCTACCTCAGAAGTTAAGAGTCCTGTGTCCTTTCAGGAACGCAGCATCCCAAAGAAAGTGAGCTATTTCCTCTGGCAAGGAAGTTTTATCATCTCTTGACCCCAGTCAGCCCAGGTCAAGGCATCTTTTCCTGTCGTCAACAAAAAGTTCCTTCCTCAGCCTCTCTAGAATTTGACACCCCAAACTCTCTGTTCCCTGCTTCACCATCCCTTTGTCTAAACCCATTCACATTT